ATTGCCGAGAAAACGCAATAGCTTGCTTATGCGTTGCTCTCAGTCGGTTGTTCACCCTCGCCACCCATTGCAGAGCACATTCGCGTGCTTGCACGACACCAACACGAGACACTTCTCTATCTGCCACCACTGTCACGACCACGAAATCGCCTCTGCGGATCAGTGTTTCGCACATGCAATCCACCTCCCTTTCCAATGATGTGAATACCTGCAACTGAAGATCGATTTCGTGTCGCAGACGTTCTGGATCGAGCGAATTTGTGCGAGCGAAACACCCCAGTCCCTCAATTTTCGTCTGCCTGTTTGGTGCAACGTTCCTATGCGACTGCAACGGGTGTTTTGGGATACAAGTTCGTACTCTTTCCTATTCTCCACTCTTCTTTTTCTTAGTCGTCGATGCCCACGACAAAACACACTTAGCGGAGGGCAAAACCTGCAAGGAACACAATATACTATGAGCATACGACGAGCACAAATTGACATGGCATCAACCACGAGCTGACTTGTAGTGCATGTTTACATTGGTGATGAGCTATCTTTCCTCCATTTTCTTGACGCACCAACACTAACATGCATCTTATCTTTCGCAAAAGTACGGTTATACTACAATGAAAAAGTTGCCACAATGGTTGTCTCGCCAATGAACCCAATCGTTCTCTCAAACAAAGGGGAAGTCTAAGGCATCCTGGGAGCGAAAAAAAGGGTGAGCGGAAGAGAGGGCGGCTGGTAGAGGGGAGGGCGGGGTTGGGGAGGGGGACAAGGACTGGGATTGACATTCGTGCGGAAATCGGTTGTCCACCATTCCCCAGCCAAGGCCTGCAAGGAGTTGCTACTGCTACACCTTTTCCGGATTCCACTCGCGGGGCAATCGAATCCCGAACGTCCACGTGGCATTGATAGCAGGGGTCAATCGTTCGTTACCGGTGACAAAGAGAGAGAGGGGGAGAAAGAGAGACATGGTGAGGTCCCAGACGCACAAATTATGAGACAGTAATGGACGTCGATAATTGGCTAATTGAGCCATTTGTCTGTCTATTAGCGAGGGGCCGTATCTCTTAATCCACGCGATTGGGACGACCTCAACCACGATGACACAGGAGGGAGGAGAGAAGAGGGAGTAGGAAGGAGGGAGACAAGTGGCGGGCGAAGCGGAGCAAACCGGTGGTGGTTGAGTGGAGGAACTCGACGGCATATATGAAAGCGGTTTGTGCCAAGAGTGCGACGTGCATAGCATGGAAAGAGATTTCATAAACAAATCTCGCCTAAGAAGTTTGAAGGTATAATACTCGTTTGCGACAGGCATAGGACCTCAATCTCGTGTGCTAAGCAACGTACATGTAGGGCAATCAGAAAATAATACGCGAAAAACTACGTACCTATAGATAATACACAACGTATATCAACATTACCCTTTCAAGTTCCCAACCTATTGGCTGTAAGATCGAATGTACTATCGATGACAGAACGTGGAGTGGAGTGTTGTTTTTTGTGCGGCGGCGGCCTGGAAAAGCAAGGAGTTTGAATTCAAATTCTTAGGGCCTACCCACTGGAGGGCATCCCAGGAAGATGCATCCATCGCGAAAGGGCGAATCGAACAGCCACCGTGGGAAATGGGACCGGCGGTCCGGTAGGGGCATTCCGAAAAGTTGTGTTCCTCACTGACAGGGGCCTGCGGCAAATCAGGGTAAGTCGACCGTCGGAGGGGGAAAACGCAAAAAAACGCAAACTTCAAGGGCATTTCAAAAATTTTCCCATTTTTATAACCCCGCCGATTTTGACGTAGTTTCAATTTTTTTAATGTCCTTTTTTTTTTTTTTTTCAAGTCGTATTCTCCTCATCGGGGGACAGCTATATATATTTTTTCTTCCCTCACATACTTTAATTTGCTTTTTGCTATGTTGTGGAACATATCCTTGTCCTTTCACGACCTACCACTACTCCTAAGGCTATACAGGGGACCCCTGCAAGCATAGCTTTCTACCTCTCTTCGGTGAAGGGAGGTTACCTCTCTGGGTGGACGGAGGTAACGGCATGTTTGCCCCTTTGCCCTACGTTTAGGGTGCAGGGTTGGAGCCGCCGGCGGAGGCCGGGCTAACACAAGGACCTAGCATTTGCCACTAACTGTGCCTCCCTTTTCATCTTCGCCCAACCCCATCGGGTAACAGGCGGTTGGTTGCCTTTAATTCAAATGAGCTTACCACTTTTATCGGGGCGAACAACCGAACCCTGTAGTGTGCAAGGCCAACACTTTCGAGATTTTGAAGGTATCCCGCCTTTTTTTCCTTTTCGAAAAAGGAGACAACTAGCTTAATTGGTTAAGCACGCAAGTGGCATTCAAGAGGTTGTGGGTTCAATCCCCAAGGGTGCCTGTGGCAGTCTCGGTGACAAACCAACTGAGGCTTGAATCCGACAAGGCACTTAGAGCCTCGTTCCACGCCACTAGAGAACTCTTTGAGTTTCAAGTGTGCCCTAATCACAAAATTGGGGTTAATTTACACTACGTCGCCTCGTCGTTCCATGTGACTAGAGGCCGCCCTTGAAAACGTCCCACTTCAAACAAAAACACCCTGGCTCCCCGTTGTGCGGATACCTGCTGGCGGCCATGCGATCCAGTAGGCCGGCACCCGGCTGAAAAGATGACCGCCTGTGGTCCGGTGTTTGGGACTCGAGGGACCGGCCTGGGGTGGGGGTGAGATGCAAGCATGCGCACTCAGGATTTTGAAATTTAAACTTTTGATCATCGCAGTGCAGAGCCCCACGACGTCGATAATCAGCACAACCTCCGAAGTGGACATCGGTATGTGTACTCTGACGCGTGTGTGTGTGCTGGACGGTGCAGTTTTGCTTCGCTGCAAGCTGTTTTCGGTGGCACGGGGTACCTTGTATTCGAATACAAGGTACGAACCTTGTAGAACAAATTCTAGGATGCAACTTTCCTAGGCAAGGTGAAAAATATATATAGATATATACAGTAAATATTAGTAATAACATCATGAACATAACACAATCGACTGCTACCATGACGGGGCTGCAGTGTGAGTTCTTTTTTGTTTTTGTCTTAAAGAACACATTGACTACGCTGCGTGCTCATGATTCGGCATGCATTCGAACATTGCGTGTGTTTGAGTGTGTGTGTGTGTGTGTGTGTGTGTGTGTGTGTGTGTGTGTGTGTGTGTGTGTGTGTGTGTGTGTGTG